GTCAAGGATGTCTCAAGCGAAACCAGTAATTCTGTGAGGATGTCTCAAGCGATTCGAGAAGCTTGTCGAGGATGTCTCAAGCGAAACAAGCATATACTCGAGGATGTCTCGAGCGATTCGAGAAGCTTGTCGAGGATGTCTCAAGCGAAACAAACATAGATTCGAGGATGTCTCAAGCTAAACAAGCATATACTGAAGGATGTCTCAAGCGAAACGATACGTTTCGTAGGGGTGTCTCAAGCGAAAACAACAATTATGCGAGGATGTCTCAAGCGAAACCAAGAATTTTGGGAGGCAGGCTCATACGAAACGAACAATGTTTCAAGGATGTCTCAAGCGAAACCAGCAATTCTGCGAGGATGTCTCAAGCGATTCGAGAAGCTTGTCGAGGATGTCTCAAGCGAAACCAGCATATTCTCGATGATGTCTCAAGCGATTCGAGAAGTTTGTCGAGGATGTCTCAAGCGAAACAAGCATATACTCGAGGATGTCTCAAGCGAAACAAGCATATACTAAAGGATGGCTCAAGCGAAACGATACGTTTCTTAAGGTTGTCTCAAGCGAAAACAGCAATTCCGCGAGGATGTGTCAAGCGATACCAAGAATTTTGGGAGGCAGACTCAAACGAAACGAGCAATGTTTCAAGGATGTCTCAAGCGAAACCAGCAATTCTGTGAGGATGTCTCAAGCGATTCGAGAAGCTTGCCGAGGATGTATCAAGCGAAACAAGCATAAACTCGTGGATGTCTCAAGCGAAACAAGCATATACTGAACGATGTCTCAAGCGAAACGATACGTTTCTTAAGGATGTCCCCAGCGAGAACATAAATTATGTGAGGATGTGTCAAGCGATACCAAGAATTTTGGGATGCAGACTCAAACGAAACGAGCAATGTTTCGAGGATGTCTCAAGCGAAACCAGCAATTCTGAGAGGATGTCTCACGCGATTCGAGAAGCTTGTCGAGGATGTCTCAAGCGAAACAAGCATATACTCGAGGATGTCTCAAGCGAAACAAGCATATACTGAAGGATGTCTCAAGCGAAACGATACGTTTCTTAAGGATGTCCCAAGCGAAAACAGCAATTCTGTGAGGATGTGTCAAGCGATGCCAAGAATTTTGGGAGGCAGACTCAGACGAAACGAGCAATGTTTCGAGGATGTCTCAAGCGAAACCAGCAATTCTGTGAGGATGTTCCAAGCGATTCGAGAAGCCTGCCGAGGATGTCCCAAGCGAAACAAGCATGCACTCGAGGATGTCTCGAGCGATCCGAGAAGCTTGTCGAGGATGTCTCAAGCGAAACAAGCATATACTCGAGGATGTCTCAAGCGAAACAAGCATATACTGAAGGATGTCTCAAGCGAAACGATACGTTTCTTAAGGGTGTTTCAAGCGAAAACAGCAATCGCTCGAGGATGTCTCAAGCGAATTGAGAGATTATGTGAGGATGTCTCAAACGAAACGAGCGATTCGTCGAGGATGTCTCAAGCGAAACAAGTACACGAGGATGTCTCAAGCAAAGCGGTAGATTTGTCGAGGATGTCTGATGCGAAACGAGAGATTTGTTCGAGGAAGTCTCGAGCGGAACGGGCACGTTTTCGAGGATGTCTCGAGCGAAGCGAGCAATTCTCCTGCTCCCGCCCGCGACCGTTCTGGCTCGAGCGTTTCGAGCTTTTCGAGTTCTCGAGCCTTCCGAGCTTTCGAGCTTCAGCTTCGCCATGGCGGTGTCCAAGCCCTCGAGCCCGCAGATGACCGAGGACAGCCAAGTCATCGCCCTGCTCGAGCAGAACAACAAGCTCCTCCAAGGAGTTACCAAGCTCCCCGAGGAGCAGAGCAAGCTTGCCGACTTGCAGAACCAGAGCCTCGCGTACATCGCCGAGAAGGCGGGGTGCGCCGAGATGCGCCAATGCCGAGCCAGCGGCGAGGCAACCGACGCTTCGAGAATGTTGGGGATGTGGTGTCGAGGGAGCTCCGCACTGTACCACAATAATGTTCGAGGCGCCGTGTTGGCGAGTGCCCTCAAGAATGGAAGCCTCGAGGGGATCAAGTACGAGGGCATCTTCCGAGGCAAGGATCGGCGCCGAAGCGAGCTCTTCTGCGCGATCTTCTTCAAGGCGCACGTCGAGCGGCGAGACGTTCAACGCCTTCGACGACGCAGGCAAGAGCGTCGAGACGTTGTTCAATATTTTGCCGAGCTCCCGAGCGGAGTTGCTCGACGAGGCCAAGACGCGCGACGCCATGGTCGGCGAGAAGGTCGAGATGATGCCCAAGGGGCCCGCGACCGACATTGTCAGGCGAGTGCTCGGCGAGATCCCCGCAGATCTGCAAGCGCTGTACGAGATCATGCTCCCAGTGAACAAGCAGTACAAGCCCATCTTGCCGAGCGACAGCGACGAGCCAGACGAGGGCGCGCGCGCGTTCGACACGGTCGCCTCCGTGCCCGAGGCGGCCAAGCCATACTTCGAGCAGTTCCAGGCAAACAGCATCGAGAACTACGAGAACGAGCGCATCCTCGTGACCGAGGGGATCGTCGCCTGGTGCTGGCAAATCGCCGAGTCTGCCAAGAAGCGCCACGAGCTCGATCAACACGGGTACTTCATCAAGCGCGCCAAGATGGACGAGGACACCAAGTACCAGAAGAAGCTCGAGTACGAGAAGAATGTCTTCGACATCTACGTCCAGAAGAATTTTCCGAGCTACTACAAGATCATCGAGGAGTACAAGGAGATGTGCGACGAGAAGAAGCGCAAGCAGGAGCTCAAGACGTCCGAGGCGCAGGCTTGAGCCGAGCCAGGCTCAGCACGAGGCCTGATCGAGGCCTGAACGAGGAGCGAGCGGCGATGAGCGCCCAGCTCCCTCGAGTTTTCTCGAGAGGCGTTATCCGAGAGGCTTCGTCAGCCCCCTCTCGAGCGTAAAATCGAGCGATACTCCATCGAGGCTTGATCCTCGATCGATCTTCGGATCGAGGCTCCGAGAGCCTCGGGCCATCGTTGATCCGAGATCACAAGATCTCGGATCCCTGGCCCGAGAACTCTGGACTCTCGATCGGAGGATCGATCCAGGATCGACCCTCTGTCTCAACGTCTCCCTCCTCGAGGCGCGATCCTCGATAGATCTTCGGATCGAGGCTCCGAGAGCCTCGAGCCATCGTTGATCCGAGATCACAAGATCTCGGATCCCTGGCTCGAGAATCTTGGACTCTCGATCCGAGGATCGATCGAGGACGGAGGGGGGAGGGAAGAGAGGAACTCTCGAGCGACGCAAGCAATTGCTCGAGGATATCGCAAGCGAAACGAGATATTCGCCGAGGATGTCTCAAGCGAAACAAGGAGGATGTCTGAAGCAAAGCGAGGAATTTTCGAGGATGTCTCAAGCGAAACGCGAGATTTGTTTGAGGATGTCTCAAGCGAAACAAGGAGGATGTCTCAAGCAAAGCGAGGAATGTTCGAGGATGTCTCAAGCGAAACGCGAGATTTGTTTGAGGATGTCTCAAGCGAAACAAGATATTGCTAGAGGACGTTGGAGGGGGGAGGGGGGTAGAGAGAGAGAGAGAGAGAGAGAGAGAGAGAGAGAAAGAGAGAGAGAGAGAGAGGGGAGGGGGGGAGAAGAAGGAGGGAGGAGCGAGCGAGGAGGGAGGGGAGGAGGGAGGGAGAGGGCGAGAGGTGAGAGGGGGGAGGGAGGGAGAGAGGATGGAAGCGGCGGCGGCGACGGCAGCGACGACGGGGGCAGCGACGACGGCGGCGTCGTCGTCGTCGCTGTCGTCGTCGTCGGCGTCGTGGTCGTCGTCGTCGTCGCCGTCGTCGTCGTCGCCGTCGCCGTCGTCGTCTCTGCCGGCGTCGCTGCCGTCGTCGCTGCCGCCGCCCCTTTCCCCCTTCTGCCCTCCCTCCCCCCTTCCATCCCGCGCAGCGACGAGCGTCGAGGCAAGCCTCGAACCTCGACGCTCTCGAGCTCCAGTGTGCGTCGAGCTGAGGTCTCGAGACTGCAAGGGCCTCGGGCCTCGGTGGGCCTTCGAGGGGCGCGAGGGAGCGCCAAGAGGATCTCCGAGAAGGATTCCAAAAGAACCCCTGCAAGATTGCAAGGATGTTTCAGGCGAAACGAGCTTGTCTTCCTCTTGGCCTCTTGCTCTTCCTTCTCTTCCTTTCCTGCCTCCTACTTCCTTCTCGGTGTCTCTCTTGTCCTCTGTTTCTCTCGCCTTTTCTTTCTTGTTATATCTCTGTCTGTTTCTGCATGTTTCTCTCTCTCTCTCTCTCTCTCCCATGCGCCCCTCAACTTGCTTATCCCTGGGGTTGATTATCCATGGAAAGTGAGGCGCATGAGCTACCCTACACGAGAACTCAAAACAATCAATTTTCAGAAAGCGCCTGTAAATTAAATCTAATAGATTTGGAACTTGTTGTTTTGCTCTTTGTCTTCCTGTTCTCTTCTCCTTCTCGTTTCTTAATATATATATATATATATATATATTATTATTATTTTATATATGTTGTTCTTCCTTTCTTTTTGCCCTCTCTCTCCCCGTGCCCCCCCTGAACTCGTTTAACCCCAGGGTTGATTATCCACGGAAAGTGAGGCGCGTGAGCTACCCTACACGAGCACTTAAAAATCTTAATTTTCATAAAGCGCTTGCAAATAAATAATTAATACATTTGAATCTTCCGATTTTTTGTTTTATCCCCCTTTCCTCTTCTCTTCTACTTCTCCTTATCATTTCTTCTTGTCCTTTTCCTTTTTAATATTTCTTTCATGTAGTTCCCTCAACTCTCTCTTTGTTGTCTTTATTTCTCTCTTTATATCTTTCTCTCTTCCCATGCGCCCCTGAACTTGTTTATCCCTGGGGTTGATTATCCACGGGAAGTGAGGCGCACGAGCTCCTACACGAGCTCCTACGCAATGTTTCAAGCGAAACGAGAAATCTATCCGTAGTTGCTTCATTGCGCAAGCTTTCAAGTTACGAGCATTCGACCCCGACGCGCCAGGGCGCCCCGGCTAGAACCTCGAGGATGTCTCAGCCGAGCTTCATCAAGCAAGAGGCACGCGCCAAGCTACCCCAGAGTGCCAATGCCGAGAATCCCGATAAGGTCGAGAAGCCTAAGAACCTGAAGCGCGAGAACCTCAAGAAGGAGGAGAAACCGCTTCAGGGCGCCAAGGGAAGCGGCAGCGAGAAGCCGCTCGAGGATCGGGTCGGGCGAAAGGGGGGGATTGGGAAAGGGGGGGGTGCGAAATTTGCTGCATGCAGCTGGTTTCGGCCTCGCCCAGGGGCCCATTCCTCGATGCGCAGGCGCCGGAAGGCGCCGGGAAAATCAGCTACGTGAGCTGATTCTCAAACCCCCCCTTTGCTATCCCCCCCTTTCGCTTGACCCGAGAGGGCGA